CATATCACAACACACCTTCATCCCATGACACTCAGAAACTACCCTCTCACGCTAAGATTGGTTTCGGGAGTTCTACTCGCCCGAATTCAATTTCGCAAAGTCGTCTGGGTTCCTTAACGTCTTAGCTATGTACTCATGTAATCAAATTCATAATTAGATCTCCCATTTGTTATCAGAATTCCCTAGACCTCACTGACTCTGATTACGTCCAAATCTGGACTAGGTTGGAAAATTTTAAGTTACTATCAAAAAGTTTTCTGGCCCAAAAATTTTTCCCATTGGCTTTTCTATAACGACGGAAACCGGTCGTTACATATAGTGAACTTAATTAAAGCAAAAAAAGGGAATTTTGAAAGGGAAAATTTTCAAAATGACAACATTTTAGCATTTAATAGGACCCCTTAGCCACATTTTCAATATTTATTAAAAATGTCAATATTTTCATTTGTTATAGGGCTAATTTTGCTTCTTTTTTTTCCTTTTGTTTAAATTGGTAGAATGCAATTAGATAATAAATAGAATGGAGAAAATAAAGGGAGAAAATATTTCAAATAAGGTAAATATCCTTGAAATTAGTCAGCAGTTACGTTTCATAGAGAAATCGACAGGGTGCTTCTCTCTCTTATTCCTCAAACTCGAAAATCAACTTTTTATACTCTATTGATAATACTGAATCTATCTCGAAGTGAAGTCGATTAATTTGAGTTTCTTTCTGGCATTGAAGTGGATTTTTAAATATTTTGTGAGGCTTTCAATGAGATATATATTTGGCACGCAATTGAAATCAAGTATTTTCGAAATAATTGGTGAAATACAAAATCGATGAGGTATTCAAATACTCATTTTATATAAATAAATTTTGATTATCCTAGATAAGTTTTTTTTGATTGATACAACAATTGAATGTATGAGTGTGTTTGAAATTTTGTTTGTTGGCCGTTTTGAATACAAAATGAAAATATAATGATTATAATCTATTCGAATACGAAATAAGTTTGTATTCATTTGTTTTCCAAAAAAATGTAGGTTTGGCTGAATGTGATACAAAATACATTGAGATTTCTTAATATTATTTTGTATTCGATTGCTTGGATTTTTTTTAAAAAATGGTATATATTAAATTCTTTTGTATATTGACTGCTTTGAATAGAAAATATTTTGGGATACAAATTAGTGTATTTTATACAAAGTAAGCATTGACTATAATATATTTTAGGAATACAAAAACATAAGATGAATATATTTCTCAATGATTGAATACAATTTTTAACTTGATTTCATACTTGTATTGATGACATGAGATATAATTATTTTTTTGAATACAATACTTAAAAATTAAAATACATAGAATACTCATTCATTGAATATACTTTTTGGCCAATACGAATTGTGTATGTTACAATTAATGTAAATCTATGTGTATTGATAACTTGGATACAAATATTGTTGAAAATCAATTTAATTTTGTATACAAGTTTTAAATACTCATTTTCATATACAAGTTTTGTATTTATATATTTAACTATATTACTGTAAAACTTGTAACAAACACCATGATAGTATTATTTTTGTTTAGCAGGTTATACCAATAAGTAATTATGTGCACAGTGTGGATCATGAAGGTACAATTTCATAGTAAGCTGGGATTTTTTTTTATACATGTAAAGATATTCCAAATGGATGAAATACCATGTTCACACGCTTGAGCTATTTTAAAGAAAAAACATTTTGATCCTAGACCATATTTTCTTCTGACATGTACAAGCCAAGTACATTGTCGGCTACATACAACAATCAAATCTTCCCTTACCTGATCAAAGGGAGTGGAATACACATGATTATATTGATGCCATCAAAATTCAAAAGACTTTCTGATAGTCCATCAAAAAAGCTTTCGTGACAAATCATACAGCGAACTATACAAGAAGAAGAACAAGAATTTATGGAGTACATGTGGGTATAAGGGCGGTCATGTTGAAATGGACCGCATATTGCATAGTGAATGATGTTTATATTTTTTTACAAATAATTTTGAAAGTGTTGGATAATTTTGTATCCCTTTAGTTTTTGATCGTTACTTGTTTGAACATCTTTAATGATGATTTGAGCTGAGATGTATTAGCTGAGTTATGAATTGTATCTAGAAAGAAGTAATTTTTTGGAAAAATAAAATATAAAATAAAATTAATTTTTTATTTATTTTTGTATTCTGAATCTAAATTGTAATTCTATTTTAGTGAATATTTTGTTTCAAACAGTGTCAGTTTTATTGTATTCCTAATATCAATTAATAGTGATCACCCCATTAGAAAAGATAAAAGTTGAATACATCTCACTATCTTTTCAATCAAAATATAACTAGTACTCCTTAGGAGAAACTAAATGTCAAGAATGTTTACATATTACAGAATCTACAAGAAATCAACAATAAAAGCATAACATTTTTACTGCTATATAAAAACTTTAGATTAGAAGTTTAATTTTACAAATGGTCAATTAGCAAACTAAAGTGCTATAAAAATTAATAGATAGTAGACAAAAGTCTATAGACCCTAAAAAGATTAACAAGAAGAAAAATAAGTACCGACCATTGTATTTCAATTGTTTCACTACTTTCACACACTATGTAAGGCCTATTAGTCCTTGGAGATGCCTCACTGTCACTTAAGGAACCGACATCATTCTTCTGTTAGTCATAGTTTCAAAGAAGTGCAGCGTATCTTGATCGTAAAAAATCTGCATCAAAGGTGCATGTTGGATTTCCTTGGCCGTAAGACAAATACTCAACATAAGCAATTAGAAAAATACCGCAATCCCTGCATCAAACATAAAGATTAAAATAGAAAAAAACAGTATCCAGCTATAAGAAGACTATATGTTGGATAAAAATAAATTCAATATAATATATGAACTTACAAGATATTAGTTCCCTACATATGTTCAAATAAATTAATACACAAATGACTTAATGACTACAAATTTCATTAAACATATATAAATTCTGTTATGGATACAAACTAACTATATACGCTGAAATGAATGCAATTAGAAAAAGGATACTAAATTCTGGAAAACAAGTAAAATGTGACAGAACACTACTACAAAACATGCTTAAATAAATACAAAGTCATTTGGCATACTAATTGTATTTAAAACAACGAAATATTTAAATGGATACATATACAAAAACAAGATACATATGTGTAAACAAAACAATTTTGATGATGGATACAATATTCAGAAGAAAAAAAAATAAGAATAGACTCTGAAATATAAAAGGACACAAAAAGATTTATAAAACTGTGTAAAAAAGAATGAATACATATACAAAACAGGACACATAAATAGAAATAATACAATTTCGAGGATGGATACAAATATACACATTATTTGTTATCCAATATATATAACTGTGGCTATAATTCCAGAATGGATACAAACTTTATTTATTCAATACGAATACAAATTATGTTATAAACATATAACTCCATCGAAATAGACATGCATTCACATACTTTACTACAAAGACAACTTCAAAATATTTACTAAAAGTTTTGTAAAACATAATTAAATACCTTTTTATCGATTTGATGTTCGAAAAGTTGTTCTTCATAAAGCTTATCAACTTCTTTAACATCAACAATTTTTTTTGGACTGTTGGATTCATTACTTTTGTGGGTAGGATCATGTCAAAATTTAGATCTGCCCTCTTCAGCCATTTTAGCCGCATACCCTATCGGTTGAAATCGCGAAAAATCAAAACATACGGTTGAAATTGCGAAAATCAGAAATATCAATATCCCGAAAATCTCAAAAGATGCTTCATGATAATGTATGTACCTATATCAAATGTTGAAAATCTTTTGAATGATTATTGAGATTTCTTAGTAGATGGATGAATTTCGATTTAAACAAGGAAAAATTTAAGTTAATTGAGGCGAGGGAATATGGTAAACATCGTGAGAGAGAGAGATAGAAATTAGAGAATGTGGGTAAAAAGTTGAGAGAGAGAAAAGTGGGTAATGAAGTATTTTTTTTTCTTCTTTCTTTTTCACCGATAATAGAATCAAATTAAGTCAAATGTGGGATCAAGTTGAGAAATAAAAGGAAGGTAGATGAATTATATTAAGATATACTTTATTTGGTAAAATATTGACATATTGACATTTTTAATAATTATTTTAAAGTGTAGATATTTTTAATAATAATGTTAGGAATTTTGACTAGTTAGCTATATTTTCAATTATAAGATGAAGTAGAAAAGTCAAATTATACAACAACTTGCGAAATCTTTTTTCTGAAACTTAGAAGGTAATTTAGGTTCACTAGAATCAAGTGATAGTTGATTTATTTTTAAAAAAAGTTCTAAAAGTAGAATACGTGAACTAATTAAGCAATGGCAACCATATATAGTACAGTAATATTCACCGTGTGAGAATAATACAATGCCAATTTTGTTGTGGATATATTATATTATTCAACCTTTATCAATTTGGCCTCAATCTCTAGCTTCAATATGCATTCAATTTTGACAACTCATTATAGTAAGGAGTATATTTTTAACTTTATTGTCGGTAAGACCATTTTCCGTGTTTGAAATAATTCGTCAGTCACAATTTTGATTTTATGGATTCTAAATTTTAAAATGATGATTTTCATTAATAATAATTGAGTTTCTAAATATTATATATATATATAACTATTGAATTTAGTCGAATCTGTACGCTACTCTGCCCATGACACTCCATAAGGAATAAAACGTTTCCGTCAAATTCACTAATAACTATTGAATTTAGTCGAATCTAGAAAAATGCATGCCAACGTATATTATTAGAATATAAGATTGGTGTGTTATTCCATTTGATTGGTGATATTGATATTAGCTAAAACGTGTGACTTGATTCCATTTTTATCTCTCTCTATATATCTGATTATTGTAGCCAAAATTATTATAAGGCATTCAAATCTCCACATTCTTTATAAATCAACTTATATAGCAAATGGCTTCAAAATCTATTCATTATCAAGGTAATCACAGATTCTCTATAACAGAAAAGGTACATGAAATTTCATGCATTAATTACTTCCAAAATTGCAATTCTTGTTTCTCCCATGTTACTGTCCTTCTTGCATTATTACTTATGCTATGTTATTTATTTAATGATGTCTTTTTGGTTGCTTGCAGGGTTATATAGTTTATCCGAAATCTCTTAATATTGTTTGGGGAAAAGATAAGTGTTATTGGAAGTTACCCAAATACGAGTAAGAAGACGACTTTTTTTTTTGCCAACTATATATTATATGTTACGTAATTGTAAGTTATAACTGAACTTTGAGATATATTTTGATTTCATAAAAAATTGAACATAAAATTTTCTATAAGGACATTTTGCATTACGAAAAGACAATATAAGAGTACATAAATCATATAGAGATCAATTTAATTATACTGATCTCTTGTTGTATATACACATAAACGTGAAATTAAAATAGGCGCTAAAATATCTGGAAAAAAAACTTCAAAAACAAATTACGGGTGCACCAAATCTAAGTTATAGTAATTAAACGTGTTACTACATATTACCTTCTAGTTTGGAATATCAGTATGCTAACGTTTTTATTAAATATATTTGAATTATAGAAAGGATCGTGCAGAACTTATGCAAGTAAATTGGCTAGAGGTAACTGGTTGCATCGACAAAATTAATATAGCCAAAAAAACATCATACGATATTGGATTTATAGTTTCATTGATGATTGATGCGTTCGGTTGGAGCGATTCACCAATTTATCTTATGGCTAAATGGGGAGATAACACTCCATTGAAAAAGGTGAATTTGACAACTGAGATTAATGGAAAAAAGATGGTTTCAAAAACTATTACGATAACAAAAGGAAAGGGGGACAATACTGATAAGATTTATTTTGGAATGTATGCAGTTTGGAACAAAAAGTGGAAAGGAGGTCTCAAAATTCATTCTGTAAATTTGAGAGAGACCTAAAAGCTAATTTAGCCTAGTGGAAGAGCAGTATTACAAGAAATTTTAAGATAGAAATACATCGATCATTCATTTGTAAATTAGAGTTTAAAATAGGAGAAACTTAGGTTAAATCTTATTTTTGTTCATGTATTTTAGAATCATGTGTTTTTTTAAGAAATTAAATTTGTGTTTGTATTTAATATTGTTCGTATCATGAATGAAATTATGATCTTCCTCTCGTATTCTCTCCTTCGAGACTTCACACCCTTCCCTTTTGTCGTATTTTATGGATAGTAGTAGGTGATGAGTGCTTATGTTCCTAGATGTTTTGATGATCTCCTCACAAGTGCAGGGACCTGATCCTCTGCAGAGTATGAATACTCGTCCAATGGTCAAAGTGCTGAACAACTGCAAAAGTTGTCCGCGTCAGAAAGTTGGTGAAGTTGCAGAGTACTTCACCAATCAGAAGCGGCGTAGTTGTTTGTACATTGGACAATGGCTTTTCATAGTTGATATATTCAACACTCAAACAACAAATTCATTATTCATTCAAAGAGAGACATTTCAAGCTTCAAAAACATCAGGGACATGATAGAGTGCTTCATTTGCTTCCTGTACCAGATGTTATTTTGTTTGCTTGTAATCGTGCTTATATTGTAGGAATCGTTTCGCTTGTGAAAGAAACAGTTCAATCTTGTGTGAATCATTGTAAGAACTAGGTTAAGGGTAACTTAGTTTCTTACTCTAAAGTCTATACTAATCAGTTAGGATTAGTATAGTGGGCATTGTTGTATCTGCTGTAGCCCAACTAAGTGATAAGAGGTATTGCTTAGTGTGGAGATTAGCAGGCTAATCTCATTTTGTAAACTGGGTTTTACTTTTGCTTGGAGAAGATTAGTGGAAGCAGTTTGAAAAGTCCTGTTGAGAACAGGTCGTGGTTTTACTCCCTTGAGCAAGGAGGTTTCCACGTAAAGTTGATTGTCAATCTTTACTTTCAATACTTGTTCTTTACTATTTATTACTGTAACTGTGTTGAGGACCTGGTCCCATCTACATAGGTGGATGCATACATTCCAACAGTAGGGAGTATGAGGGTTAAAATTGTCACGTCCTAAGCCTATCCTTGGACGTGGCTGGCACTCGAAAACTATTGTTGGTTCCCAAGTGAACCATTGGCCTAGCTGACTACTTAGCGCAAGACTCACTCAAGCAGATATAGACTTTAAAACTAAACTAATGTAAGAGTTAGTGTTTCAATTAATTTTGAAACAAATTCATCCGTTAAAAGTTTTGAAATAACAAAATACATGAATGTGAGTTGTAACATTCATTTTTGTTTTAATACTACGTTATAGATGTTTTGCAAGACACTTTTAAAATTCTACATTATAGGTTTTTGAAAGTTAAGTTTTTCTTTTCAATTCATGAACCTATAATAAATACTATTTAATTAAAAGTCTTTTCTTGCAAAACTTTTGTCCTGTAAATTGAGTTTCTTTTGGTTGAAAAGAAAAGCACTAAAAAAAACTACTTTCCCTTGAAAAACACTTGTGAGACATTAATCCAAAGGTGAAATCACCAATTCTAGAATAGAAGAGCAACATTCTTGAATGCTACTTGTTTTGTGGCTTAGCTAAATCCTGAAGATAGAGTTGTTATTTATTCTTCCGATTGCTCGTGGGAGAGACTCCAACTATCTTCAATAAATGTATTATCGTGCCTCTAAGCCAAGCAAGTTTTGTTTTGAATTCCTTATATTTTTATCATTCTTGTTCAGTTGTTCAAATAATTTGAAGATAGTTGTCTCTATGGCATACACATCTATAACAAACAGTGTTCCATCTTTGCCTAATCCTAATTTTGAAATATTTGATGGAAAAGACTTTCCTAGATGGCATGGAAAGATGGAATTCTTTTTAAGACGATTAAAGTTGGCAAATGTTCTTGAGAAACCTTGTCATGATGCTCCTAGTTCTGAGGTAGCAACAGACGAGGCTACTCTGATTAAAGAACAAATTGTCAAATGGCAAGACGATGATTACTTATGCAAGAATTCTATTCTTGGAGGAATGTCCAATAAATATTATAGTAAGTGCAAATTTGCTAAGGATATTTGGGATACTCTTAAGCTATTCATTTAGAAGAAGAGGCGAGTTCAAAGAAATTTCTTGTTTCAAATTATATGGAGTTCAAAATGGTTGATAACAACTCAATCACTAAACAAGTACAAGAATTTCAACTTATAGCTAATAAAATTGCTATATCTGGAATTGCTCTTGATGAAAACTTTCATGTTGGTGCTATTGTCTCAAAACTTCCTCCATTTTGGAAGGAGTATAGAAGCAAACTCTTACACAAGAAGGAAGATTTGACTCTTGAACAATTATTGCAGCACTTGCAAATTGAACAAGAGACACGATATCATGACAATAACATCTTGAAGGAACCCATCATGAAAGCTCATGTTGTTGAAGAAAAATCGATCAAGAACGAACCTGCCAATAATAAATTTTTGAAGGCAAAGAAGAGAAAAAAGTTTCAAGTGTACTAATTCCAATTCTAAGTCGAATGAATGTTATCATTGTCATAAAATTGGTCACTATGCACGTGATTGTAAAATTCTTAAAACTGAAAAGAAGAAAGAAAAGGCAAATAACAATACAAAAAATGAACTGGTAGTAATGGTCACAGAAGCATTTGTAGCGGGAGATCAAGTGGAATGGTGGATAGACACTGGTGCAACTCGTCATCTATCAGGTAATCAAAATTCTTCCACTACCTATGAATTAGTGGGGGGCGATAAAGTTTTGCATATGGGAAACTCATCCTCTGCTAAGGTTGTGGGAAAAGGAATTGTTGAACTGAAATTCGCTTCCGGAAAGATGGTCACATTGATCGACATATTGCATGTTCCTGATATTCGAAAGAACTTGGTGCGAGGTACGCTTCTTTCGAAGCTTGGTTTTAAAATGATTTTTGAGGCTGATAAATTTATTTTGTCTAAACAAGGCATGTTTGTTGGAAAAGGTTATGCTATAAATGGAATGTTTACTCAATATTGAAAATGATATTTCTGCTTATGCTGTGGAGTCTTTAGATTTATGGCATGAATATCTTGGTCATGTGAATTTAAGATCCATTCAACTTATGGTGAAAAATGGATTGATTAAAGACTGTGGAAAGGATCATATTGCTAAGTGTATTACTTGTAGTAAATGTAAAATAACAAAGAAACCTTTTAAGTCTGTTGAAAGGATATCCACACTTTTGGAGTTAATCCACACTGATATTTGTGAGATGGATTGTTTATTACATCATGGAAAGAGATATTTTATCACTTTCATTGACGATTACTCAAGGTATACATATGTCTTTCCATTAAAAACAAAAGATGAGGCATTTGAGACTTTTAAAACATAAAAAGCAGAAGTTGAAAATAAATTGACTTTGAAGATTAAATCAATTAGATCTGACAGAGGTGGAGAATATTAAAAATCAGATTTTATTATTTTTTGTGAAAAAGAAGGCATTGAGAAATAATTGACTATGTCTTATACACCACAACAAAATGGTGTAGCAGAAAGAAAAAATAGAACTTTCATTGAAATGGTTAACTCTATGCTTTATGGATCTGGTATCACTGAAAATTTGTGGACTGAAGCCTTATTTTCTGCATGTCATATTTTGAATAGAATTCCTTCCAAGAAACATGATTCATCTCCATATGAACTTTGGAAGAATAGAAAGCCAAATATAAATTATTTTAAAGTATGGGTTGTTTGGCTCATGTTAGATTACCAGGTTAACATTTGACTAAGATTTACTATAGAGGAGTAGATTGTGTATTTATTGGTTATTCACAAACCAGTAAGGCTTATAGATTTTTGAATCTTGAGACCCCAAGCCCTCACACAATTATTGAATCGTTGCATGCAAACTTTTTTGAGCATATATTTCCTAAGAAAAAAGAATCTTTGGAACAAGATACAAGTTTTTCTATATCTCCTCTTAAAAGGAAAATAGTTGAGCCTTTAGAAGAAAGTCAACCAAGACGTAGTGCAAGATCAGCCAAACCAAGAGACTTTGGACCTAATTTCCAAGTCTATTTAGTTGAAAAGGATCCTGAATGTTATGCTGAAGCAATGTCTTCACATGATGCCCCTTTCTGGCGTGAAGCTATTGATGATGAAATGCACTCTATTATGTCAAATAATACATGGATTTTATTAGACCTCCTTCCTGGATGTAAGTCTATTGGTTGTAAATGGATCTTTAGAAATAAATTGGAATCTGATGGTACCTTAGATAAGTACAAACACTACTAAAAATTGTCAAAAAACGACGGCTAAAAGTGACGGACTACGTCGCTTTTATTGTCAAAATCGACGGAAAAGTGACGCAGTCACCTCCGTCGCTTTTCAAAAAGCGACGGATTGCGTCACTAAAAAGCGACGGACAATGTCACTTTTTTACTATTTTTTATTATTTTTTAACAAAAACGACGGACTCCATCGCTTTATTTTAATTTTAATTTTTTTTATTTCTAAAAGGCGACGCAATACGTCGCTTTACTGAAAATGTTATTTTTGAAAATCCCAGAAAAGCGACGGACTAAACCACGCTGTCCGTTGCTTTTTCTGCAATATTTTTTATAGCAACAACTAGCATTTTCTGCTGCCCACCTGCAAATGCAATTCAATTCAATTCTACACTATTCAGACGAATCAAACACATACAATTATAACCAATCTAAACAAAACATAAAACAACAAACTTAAAATAACATTCAAAAGTATCTAAATCATAAATTAAAGACTTATAAAGTCTTTCAAAATTCGTTTCAAAATTCCAAAAAAGTTCATAAATGTCCAGAGATCTAAACTAGGGAATGAGATCTGCATAATCATCCTCATCACTCTCGTCGTCGGTGTCATCGGGAGCCGAAGTAGTAGGTTGACAAGCGAGGTTCGTCACTTTTTCTTTGATTTGCTGAACGGTCTCACTCATGCTTTCATGTTCAG